GTTTACATGCGTTTAATTTCGCTGCAACTCTCTGTGGGCTGTCATCAGCACATTACACTCGCCGGTGGCCAGAATGATAATTGGCGCGTTTCTGTCTGATAGCAGCGCAGTAGCCGGATTGAGGAAGGTCATGCTTGTGGCTCTGCACCAGCAGGCTATTCTGGCCGGTTATAATAAAATGGCATTTTAAATAAATACACACGTGAGAGAGAGAGAGCAAAGCAAGCAGTCTGCGTGCCTTTTGGCACGGACCAGCATAAGACGACGGCCCCAGGCAGATAATCCCCGCGTTTAGCTTCTTGCTCACCCCACGGCACCAACATTCCACCTCCTGTGTAATAATAATAGCAGCTTCTACCCGACCTCTCTCAAACTTAAAACGCGAGCACTCTGCGGCTCAACACAGAATCATCATAAAATCTCTGAAGATTCAAAATGAATAAAAAAATTCAGCTCTTGATGACAAAAATTATTTATAGGTTTACTATAATAATTTTGATAAATCGTTTTATCTTTTGTGAATTTGTGTGCAAAAAAGAGAGGTAAATTAAAATTGTTGATTTAATATATCTCTTGTGAATAATTGAGGCTTAAAAATGTTAGCTTTACACTTTACACTAAAATTTCAAATTCAAAATATGGACCAAAGAGGGTTTTTAGTTGTTAAAATATTCATAATTGGGAAAATGGATAAAAGCATCACAACATTTTCTACACGACCTTCAGGTGTCAAGAAATTATTTTGTTTCTATATGAGCAGCTTGTGATATGTAAAATTAGACATTCAAAGAAATAAATAAACTTTATTAAAAAAAAGAAACATTCTCAAAAATTATTTTTAATTCCTATATAATAAAAATAATTGTCATCAAACTCTATATCACTATAATTTTCGTATAGATTGCATGGACAAGACCATAGACATGACAAGAATTAGATTAAAATGCGAATGTTTTTTTTTTTTAATTAAAAATGCAAGACACACCTACATCAAATTTGTCTCTCTTATTACAATTTAAAAAATATATTTATGTATGTTTGCATTTATTATTAATTATTTCCAAAACTAGTTTTTGAGAAGAAAAATAACACGACATCAGATAGGAAAAATAATTTATAAGAACTAATTTCTTTTATTTTATTTTGCTTTATATCATATTTTTTTAGGTGTCGTACCTCATTATGTCAATCGTATATAATTGCTAGATTTTTTTTTCTCTTTTAAGAAAATGCATATTGAATCAATTTCTTCAAAGTTGACTCAAAGCAGCTTAGCAGAATAATATTTTCCTTTTTTCCAAGTAGATGAAAAACTATTTGCGACGCCAATAAGGCAAGATCTCGAATTGATTTTCCAGATGTATGGAACATTAAAGAAAATGAGTCGCAGAAGCTAAATGATATCCTCACGTCAAAGGCACAACGAGAAACAAGTCGGAGACGATTCCCATTGATCGGCGGCAATAACTCGCGGCGTCGCTCGGCGGTTCGGCAAATCTGAATTGCAGATGAAAGCAGCAAAATAATTCTTCTTCCATTCATCTCGTTTTTTTTCGAGCAGCTGTTGGAGAGCAGCAGAGGATGTGCAGCAGCAGCAACTTAGCGTTTTCTTGACGAGAGAGCGAAATTATTGCCGAGGAAAATAAATAAATTTATATCAAGCGCGCAGAGAGCGGCGGAGAGCAGAGCGCATTTTCTTTGATATTTATAATGGTTGCGCGCGATGACAGAGCAGTTGGATGACATGACATCCTTTATAACCTGTTGTTTCAGATCATCAGCTATAATCTGCGGCTCACTGAGCACCTCCTCTCATCTCCTTCGCCAAGCCCAGACGCAGCAAAAAAGATGAGCAGAAATAAAAGTCTGCTGGAGAGCGCCGGCCGAGAGCCGCCGACTGGCCCCGGTCTGCTCGCGCTGGCGGGGGATTACTGGACCGTGAACATCTCGAGATCGGCCCCGAGGGCCACTTTGCACAATTGCCGCCAAAGCAGCGCGTCAACTTTAAACTCTCCTTGGAATTTGTGCACAGCGAGTGTCGCCGCGCCAAATGCCTTCGTGCAACCCGGACTGACCGCTTTTTGCCACAGATTTCGCCGACGGATTTGACGCCTCATCGGCTTTGCACTATTTTGTCATTTGAATTTTTTCAAGCCTAATGACTTAGTAAACCTTTTTATAATTTAAGTTTGTTTAGAGTTTTTCAGCTGCCATACACCTTACCATATTATATGTTCAAGTTCAGATTTTGATTCATATTGTTAATCAAAACATTGCAAAAGAAACAAATTGAAATTTATTAAACAGTAATTGAGACATGGCTTCGTTTTAACAATAAAAATTTAATATTTATAGCAAATATTTCAATATTCTAGGTTGGTATAAAAACTTTCTCCCCCTGAACTCTCCTCTTCTTTTTGTCACTCTCTTTTGACCCACAGCCACTTGACGGCAAAATCAATTAATCATTAGCATAATCACAATTAAAGCCTCAAGTGCGGCTTTCAAATGCATTGAGTAATGATTTGGGAGAGAAACGGACGTTTTTTGGCCAGCAGTTGACACCTTTTGTGCTCTTTATCAAATTACGCGGCAGTATATTATTCATGGCGCATTATACAATAATGTGTGAAGTTGTCCAGAATAATAACGATGGGGGCACTGCGGGGAAATAGCCCCGAGACACACAGACCCCACTTTTCTTGTGTGATTGTTTAATTCAAGAGTAAATCGTCAGAGTTCAAGTGTACCTTAGGGGAGTGCGCATCGGTAATGAGCTCTACTTTTTGAATAGCCTCTCCAATACTTGACACTATACAGTTTTCTTTGCTACTTTTTGTGGGGTGCAGGCAAAACTCGATTTATTATATCTGCTGGACTTTGATTATTTGTAAGCATCCCGTCAATTGGCCGGAAATACTGCGGGAATAAAGATTTGAAATTTTTTTCAATTTATCAGCAATTTTTATTAAAGGAAAACTTTTTGTTTTTGGCTCAGCGATATTAAAACTTAATTTAGAATAACCGGATATTTAAACTGATTAATTAACGATAGTTAATTTTATATCTAGAGCTTTTTTCCTTACTAGATGGTATGATGTAAAAAAAGCAAACCGCACAACTTTTTCCTTGCGGTGTCATGCGTCTTTGCATATAATTAAATTTGCTTATTCCAAATCAAGGTTTTTTATATAGCTACTTTCCTTACTCTCTACACTATAATCTAACTGCTGAGAGTTCCTGACTCTTCAGTATAGGATTTTATTTCCTTAACATATGGGGTTTCAACGCTTGGCATATAAGTCATAAGTCGAAAGTCAATACCAGTGATATTGTTTAAGATTGCCAAAATAAATAATTGAAGTTTAAGAAAAATTCCTGAAAAGTTTTAATTATGTAGAATGAATAATGCAATTTTTATTGTTTACCTGCTTATTTAAGATGTATTATTAAACGGATGTAATTATCAATTAACTATTGAAAAATCTGGATTATTATTTAAACAATACAAATGGTATGCAACTTTTATTCTGCACTCGCTTTTGAAACTTTTTAACAAGTGTTCGGCATTGTAATGCAGCTGCACGTGCGCTTCGTTGAGGGTCGTGGTCGTCGTCGTCCATTGGAAGTTCAAGAAAAAATTTCCTTCTTTCCGAAACACCCGCACATTTTACATGAGGCTATTTCCGATGATAACTTTTATGCACGTCATTGCGCCTCACCTTAGCCACAAGGCAATTAAAATAAAGGAGAAATTTCAATAATATGCTCAAGTTTGAAAAACTTTAAACTTTGATAAGAATCGGTAGAAATGATTTTTTTTCTCTATACAAATGGAAAGGTGTAATCTATCAGTGACAAATTTTTTTTATAGGAAGCTTAAATCAATTTAATTAGATCTTTATTTCTGCAAATTAAAAATATATGTATTTTATTCAGTAAGCAGTTTTTTTTGCGAATCATATAAATTGAATTATGATCATGATTGAATGAATATAATTCTGCTTTTTAGTGAACACAATAAATTATTATAAGGTGAGGAGTTTTTAAATTTTACTTACGTTTTCAATAAAATAAATGTGGAAAAATGAGATATGCTAAATATTCATTTTATTTATTATTATCATTTTTACTCCTACTTTGTGATTTTTTTCCAATCTCATTGTTATTTATATAAATATTTTAACAGTTTGATTCACATAATTTTTTTAATGGGATTGTAGGACAAAACGTTAGTACCAAACCTCCACAAAAGTGTGCCAAAATTTTCAAGATAAAAAATCTCATTCAGCAAATATAACCCTTTTCCTGTAAACTTTCACGGTAAAATTTGTTTCAAATCATTAGAAGTGTGGTTTCTGTATTATACCTGATAATTCTTTTCAAACCACACATCATTTTTTCCCATTTAAATTTTTTTTTAAAAAAAGTTCAATAATATCTAATTAATATTTAATAATAGATAGAATCAGGAGCATCAAATGTATTATTGAAGAGAAAAAATTCTCGGACAAATTTGGACAAAATATTTGTTATTTTTTTCTAATTCTGTTATTTAAAATATTTTTATTACTTACTATGCTTCAAAAATTTAAATCATTGAATTTCATTTTTAGTGATTTTTAGGACAAAACAAAAGGATACGGTATATTGAGCGAGAGTTGACAGTGAGCACCGGTGACGTGCACCCTTGGGCGGTGTGTGCAAGTGTCAAGAACGGGGTGCCGCCGAGGGTGAGCGCGGCGGCCGACGGCCTGCTGGTGCGCCGCCTCCAGGAGGCCGTGGGCCGCTAATTCCCGCCCCGTTATCCGCTCATTTGTCGGCGTTTGGCAGAAACGGGGATCGGCGGTGGCGCTGGCGCACTCGGGCACCCGCCTCCGCCGTGCCGCCCCCGGCGGCGGCGGTGGAGGCCGCGGGTGCGGCGCGCATCGAGGCGCGCAGCAGCACCGCCGCGACGAGGAGCACGCGGCCGGCGCGATAAGCTCAGTCTTGGCCCGACCGTCGAGCGAGACGCACCCCACGCACCGCCTCCGCCGGCCGGCCCCCGACACGTGCTCTGCTCCATGCCACAAGGCCTGCCATGGACTTCCAGAGTGCAATGGAGACGTTCGCAGAGGCCTGGGTCGCAGCCAACACCAAGTCGCCGCACCACCCGCAGCCCGTCGCCCTCGCCCACCAACAGGAACAACAGGTAGGAATAATACCTTTTTCAAACTCATAAATTTCCAAAATTATTAGGCAGTCTTTTCCGTAACTTAATTGCTTTTATTTTAAAACTCTTTTTAAAGGCAAGTCTTATTGTTAAATAAAATATTTAAAATTTTATTCACGCGTTTGTCCTAATTTTTGAAGTATTTAAAAAAAGGGAGAATCTAAAAATTTTAGTTGGCAATTTATATTTTGCACTTAATTTTAAGGACTACTTTCTTTAATTTTGGCATAATTATAATTTAAAATTACAAGGCAAATTTAGCTTATTTGAAAGTTTTTCTGTAAACTTGGTTTAATTGATTCCATAATGAATTAGATATTATTAAGATTTTATTCCTAAAATTCACTGATTAAATCGATGAAATTTGCAGCGAATAACTTAATTTCGTTCATTGAATGCAAATTAAATGAAACAATTTTATATTGTTGGAATTTATATTGTTTTCCTCTTTATATTCTATTTGAAAATAATGAAATATGAAAATCATATATGATAATTAGGATAATTGGCAAGAAAATCTTAATAAAAGCGGCCATATATAAAATAATGAGACGTTTTTTAAGCTATTGGGCACTTCAAAGTCAAGTGTCACAATTATTTCATAAGTCCATACTACTTACAAAATTATTTCATAAGTCTCTACTACTTATAATAGAAATAACTTATTCATCCTTTCGGTTGTTGACTTTTAAGTCAAAAGCTGCCCAATTATCATTTCTCAAAAGGTTCAAAAAAGTTTTTTAATGAGGAAAATAATTTCATAATAGAAATCAAGAATAGAAGTAAGTAATCAATCAACCATGACTACGCACAATATTCAAATGAATCATAAATTTTCCTACAGGAAGCTTAATTTGTATGTATATTAGTGACAGTCTTGATTTCCTTATATGATTCCACGTTCTCTGTCATTCGTGATATTTCTTTTTACGACGAAAAAAAAATAACAACAAGAGAATGAAAAAAATTCGTCCAAAGCAAAATATCTAAATTTAGCGCGAAGGGATGAATTGGATGGGCATTTGGCAGGGTGCATTATGTACATGTTTACGTAGGATGTAAAATATTTTTTGTGTCGAAATTCATACCCAGAGGAGCGACCGGGACCAATTGTTTTCTAATCCCTGGAACCAACGTGCCCGTTTGAAAATATCATAGAAAAGGAAACAAGCCAGTGGCTCTCTTGTTTGGTTCATCCACGCTGCTGACAATCGAGTCGATTTGATTTATGACCACGGCCAAGTTTCGGAAAATTACACAGACCTGGCCAGGATTTGGGGATTTCTCGGTATAAGTGAAGGGATGAGAAAGCAAAAGGTTTTCCCTCCCTTGGGACGCGAGCGCGCTCAGGTATAGAGAGGGAGAAAAATGTCAATAGGCCTGCCAGTGTTTACTCTGTGGGAAGGGAGAATTGTTTCCCAGGGTTGTATATTTTTGCCTGAATTCCTGCCGAGGGTAAATCGTGAATCAGCGTAGCGAAAATTTGAGAGACAAGCCAAAATTTACAAGCTCCCAGTGACAGGGATGAGAAATTGTTAAGAAGGGGTCGCGCTTTTGGGTGGAAATAATTTTCAACCTTTCACCAACTTGTCACTTGTACACAGTCCGACCGGCGACTTGAAACGATTCGGGAATTGGAAATTCGTGGGAAAGTGTGTTTCATTTTTCGCTCTCCTCCACAATCCGTTTTTGTAACAATTCAGGTATAAATGTGACTGGCAAGTTGAGAAGATGTTTTTCTCAAGAAATTCTTGAGACTGCATGAGTCATAGAAAAAGGGTTGGAAAGGAAATAACAATTCAAAATAGAATTATTTTGGGGCAACATAAAAAAATCTTGCTGCACATAAAAATAAATTTTAAAAAATCTTCAAACTCTGGGAACACGATAAATTAATAATTGACACTACACGGTTGAATGAATATTCAGTTTTTAATTTTCAATTTTAATTTCTAGAGATTAAAACTTAATCTGTTTATAATATACCAAAAAAAAAATAAGCCAATTAACTAGATTAATTGATTATTTTAATTTTATTGAATTATCACTGTTTTCAAACTAAAGTTCCCATTATTGATGTCCTACAGTATGGAACGGCCTAATTAATTAATATTATGTATATGTTCAAAATAGGGGTAATTTTTTCTAATAAAAATCCAACACATAGAAATTTTAATAAAGAGGATTGGTTGCCGGGCAAACGTTAATTGATGTAACTTAATTCAAAACGTCAGCATTTACTTTTAAATTCGTTTTCTGTCACACAAATCTTATAAAAGATATTAAAGAAGAAAATCTCAAAATAATTGAGGATTGAGTCAAAAGGGTTTCAAAATATAAATTGCGCAGGGAAAATTTTTTGCAAGTATTCTGTTTGATTGCATCTTGATTCATCATAATTATAAGAATTTTTGAATAATAATTCTATGCCATTCTAAAAATATTCATTGCAATTAAGGCCATTGAAGTAAACAGGCACATATTATATTTATTTGTGCAAATTGAAAAAATTAATGAAATTTCTATTATTTTTGCTATATTTTTTTCCCTATGAAAACTTGAAAAATGTGTAGCGTTTATTGTAAAATCTACGTCAACTTTTGACTTTTAATATAAAGTTAAAATTAATTTCTGTAATATCAAAACCGTGTGCAATTAAATTGACTCTATATATTTTAACCTTCAATTGGATTCGCGGCGCTCTCGGAGCGGCGGAATGAAGGCGCGCAAATAAATATCCTCTCTCGTCATTTCCCTTGCCGGAGAGGAAAACACTCCGGCGGCGTATTAAGCTTAAAACGGCTTAACTTTAAATGTATAAATAATGGTCACGCATAGCTGATCTGCAGCGCAGGAGAACAAACTCTCTCACATGCTTACATTATAAAAGGTCGCTTTTTCTCCGCGGCGGCATTGCTCGCGGTTCTTCTAATAAAACTAAATAATGGGGAGTACGCGGCGGCTCCCGCGTGTCCGCGCAGACGGACGCACAGGAAGCTCTTATATGCTGTGCCCCCGGAACAATGTCCTACGGACGCGATATTATAAAGATATTAACGCACTGAGCTACCCGACATCAACATTAAATAAAAGACTATAATTAGGGCAGTGCAAAAGTTAAAAATATTTAAATAAATTTTATAAATGGTGCAATACAAATTTACTATTATATTATTTTATAAATGTAAAATAAAAATAAGTTGAAAATTAAATTTGTAAACTGTATATTTTATCAGAACTAACTTCTACAATTTTATTTTTTGTTACTAATTTTTTTCTTTTTGATAGAGATTGCTTGTTTTTTAAGATTTTTTTATTTTTAAAATGTATGACGCATAAAGAATCTTCCCCAAAGGTATTTTAGTCTTGTATTATTTATTAAAAAATATCAAAGGAATTGGTAATGTAATGCTCGACAGGAACAAGATGCATAACATAAATTTAAAAATATGACTTTCGTGTAGCTAGCAAAGCAAGGAATAATAGAGGGTTTTTGGCATAATTTTGATATTATCCTTGGACTTTTGCTTTCAATATGGAATAAATTAATATTAAGAAAAATATTTATTCAAATATGCTCAAAACTGCTGGATTACACCTTTTTTTACAGTTATAAATATTTTTGCACTGCCCTGGATGCAACTGGAGAACATAATAATAATCCAATGCTGATGATCATCTTCATCACCTTTACCAGCCGGAGGAAAACTCGAGTTCCTCCGCATTAGACCGTATTTATCTCTCTGTCTCTCTCGTCTGCCGGACAGACACAATTTATTTTTTTATCTCTCTGCCAATACAATTCATAATAAAGTTGTTGTTAAAACTACTTCTTTCCCAGCAGATCTCTCTACGCGGCGTAGTCAAGGTAATAACTGACCTCCGCTAACTGAATAAGAATGCATACTTCTTTCCATAATTAAACAAACGCGCTCGGCTTAAATTTATATTATTATGCATATTTTTCATTGCGTTTTATTGCATTATTGTCGGCGTTTAATTAGTGTTGGACAAATTATGCAGATGAACGCTGCTTTTATCGGTGCATCATGTGCATTAAGAAATTCAAAGTTGGAAAAGAAGAACAGTGCATAATATAATAATCTGGCGCGCTCATCTGCCGCGGATGATGAAAAAAATCGCACACAGCTGCGGATATTTACAAAGTGTATTATGCAGCAGGAGGAGGCGGAGGACGCGGCCGCAAAAAAAGAAGCGCGGCGAGTACATACGTCGCAACGAGTGCTTCCTTCTCCTCAGGTAATTGTGCATGGAGAGGGGGAGGTGGAGGCGGCGGCGTACTTGAGAAGAAGAATAAAAGCAGCTCCTGAATTGTGCAGCGGATTTGGCAGCGAGACCGCGCGCAAGGCACGATTAGCAAGGGATTTGCCGATTCAATGCAGAATATGAAATTTCCTTGACTTATCAAAATTTTTGGAAATGTTGAAACACTATATTTTTATTAATTAAATAAATTATTATTAAAGATAAATTACATTATTTGTTGACGTGGCATTTTTTATCCTTAAAGAAATAGACGAAATTAAGATTTTTAAGAGAAGTTAGTGTAATTTATTTCTTGATTATTATTATTATTATTATTATTAATTTCTCAAAAATAAAAATTTAATCTTTTGTCTCTGTACTTTTATACAAGATATTAAAATTTGAATTAAGATTATTATTTATTGAATTATGTATACATATATACATATTAATCTTGGATGGCAAAGGCTGTGAAAGGTTGTAAATTGTTATGTCTCAAACAGGCTACGCTCTTGTCGCTCTTAGATTTGCCTTCAAATTCTAGAGAGATTGATTTAAATTTAGTTTCAAGAACACGTTTCTTAGGATTGAAATTTTGATTCAAACCATTCCTGAATTTATTTTACTTAATTACAAGTAGTATTCTTTTTGTTGCAAGAGGTGACAATAATATAAAGAAAATGCCAAATCTGCAATATACATAATTTTCAGGAAATTATTATTTAATAAACTAGAGGTGCAGTACTCATTTTATTATTATTATTTATTCAACGAACATATTTTTTCTTTTAGGAAAATAAACTTACGATTAGATTGGAAAGTTGGAAATTTTCACATGGACAGCAGAAAAATTAACTTAGCGTTTTGCAACCACAAAAATTAATTGTGCACTTAGAGTTCCCGTTTCCTCATTATTTTCACACTGGAATTTCCGCGCCCTAGAGCGACCGAATCTCGCCCGCGTCCAAACGGAGTCGATCAGGCTCACATCCTCCCGACGGCCGATTTGCTATTTATTCTCCACTGGTCTCGCCGCACCGGTTCACTTTTAGTTAGACAAATTCTACTGACATGTGATATCGCGTGACAAAGAAGACGCACACGATTCGATCTTGGCTATATAAAATCGGTTGATCTGCTAATCCCTTTGCCGCGATTGCGGATGCTCCTGGGTCACGCCTAATTAGGCCCGCCGAGCATTTGGCAGGTAGGTTTATTGAAGCAGCAGCGAGCGGAAAGGGCTGCTGTATTGTTATTTAAGTTATTCTCTCCACTTTTATTTTTTTCTTATTTTATTTTTACCTACTTGTTTTCTTTCCCCCTGTGCGTTTCTAAATTACCGCGCTTTGCTGAGCGCCGCAACCTTGGGATGAGCACCTCCCCGCCCCCTCCACTCGATATTTATCCCAGGCTAAAAGAGACAAAATCTTCACTAATCTCGAGCCCTCCGTTGCTTTTTACGAGCTGCTCTTCACGGAAAACATTTTAACCCCGTCTCTCTTGAGCGAAGAGTTTGTTGATTTTTTCTCTCTCGCGGGTCCGATTTATGGCCGTGAGGAATTCAACCCAGCCGGCTCTCTCTGAATTCTTCACCAGCAATTGAAATATGACGGACGTGTTTGCTTATTAGCCGCGGACAGATGATTAAATTATTTTGAAAAAATCCTGCGCATTCCAGTCGGCGGATTAATGCGTCGGATAATGAGACTTTTTCATCGTGAATAATTCTTTTTGGTTTATTTATTCGCCAATGCGAGAGTTGTGGAGGAGATATAAGTCTCTTAATAATATTGTGCGAGCCGAAATAGGATGAGCCGAACCAGAGGCATAAGGGTCAAGATTAGACATTTTAGATAAAGAGCAGAGCGAACAACGTCATAAGAGAAGAGAGCCCCGACTGAGCTTAAGAAAATTGGCAATATTTTTTATACATGCTTGATCAAATGTCATTCACCTCGCCTTTTATCTCACAAAAATTTATTATTATAATGCTTGGTTTAACACATAAATTTAAAAAATGCGACTATTTTGAGTTTATCTCTTTGGTCTTAAAAATTCTAGTTGATTTTATTTTTCTGTTCATATACTTGGAAATTATCAAAGCTATTGCAAGCCATAATCCTGCATATTCTATATATACATAAAATTTAATACAATTTTGTGATTTGGATGAATGTTTAAAAAATGAAAATGACAATATTTTAAGAAAAATGGCCGAAAATTTTAAAGTTTTCATTATCAAACTTTATTTTCCTATTTCATCAAATAACTGCTTTTTATAATACCATCATATAATATACATTTCATATATATTATAGGTCAACTGGTTTATTATTATTATTAATATTATTTATTTATTTTACATTTAAACATATTATTACATCATTCATTAGCACTTTGATATTTAATATATTTTGAAACATTTTATTGTTCTAAACTGCTAGCACATTATCGCGTCAACTTTTTTATAACTTTTACTTTTAATTTAAATCCTGTAATTACAGACAGATGCTTCAGAAAATTTTGTAGCTTGAATATTAAAAAATTCCTTAATTACAAGGTGTCAAAATTAAATGTTTAGCAGAGCATTAAAAAAAGAGGGAAAGTTATATTTAAAAAAATTTATTTATTATATAGATATAATTGAGTTATTACAATTAAATGGTACAAAAATTAATTTATTATATAAGTATTAATTGAAATTAATTTTTTGTAGTATTTTAATAATTACTGAACTATTAATAATTAACCTTGTACGCATAAATACAACAAAAGATCTTGCTTCAAATTGGAAAGCGAGACATTCATGCATCCTATAGACTTCCAGCTCGCATTCTAATGCAAAAGCGCATAAAGGTCGGGATATACAATGTGTGCTCCGTGCAGCATAAGCTCATTGTTTGAGCTCCTAATCCCCGATGTCCAATTGCTAAGGTTTCGTTGGCACTAATACTTGGTGCAGCAGTCTCGTGCTACAGGAAATGATCATTCCGCACACATCTTACTTAATTCTATGCGCCGCGTCTCCATTGTCGCTCGTTCGTTGCCTTTGCGGCCAGATTAATCAAATGTATAATAATTAATACACACGTTATCATTTCTGTGCTGCTGCCGAGGAGAAGGAGCTCACAATTATTTGCAGCACGAGATTCAAACACTCACCAGCTCGAGCTGGTTGTAATTAATTCGCGAAGCTATTAGGGTTTCCTTTGTGCGCACGCGGCGGCAGCTATGTTAGGAGAAGAGAGCGGGGAATTTATCAGCAGAATGGATAGGGCTTTCGGCTTTGTCAGCTTTAGCGAATTTGACTTTGGATCTGCTGATTCTTAAGAAATGTTTTTTATTTTATTTGTTAAAGGAAATTCCTCGAATGAATTAAGCTAACTATATGTAGTAATGGGATGGGAAAAAATGCTCAAATCGATTAATTTAATTTACATCAGACAATCTGAGATAGCCAAAATTTAAAGTAACTAATCAATATATCAATTTTCTAGAAGAAAATTATTTTTCCTTCAGCCGTTTTAAAAATATACAAAAACTTCCCAAAAGGGCCACTACAACACGGGAAAATAGGAAAAATCGGAAAATTTGGTCAACTGATACATTTGAAAGTCCCAATTTTTCTTTCAGTCGTTGCACTCTATTTTTTTACGTTCCCGCCTGCCATATTGCTTTGGCTTTGCTTCTTATATCGGCAAGGAACGTTTCTTTCTTTGGCCTATCTGTGCGTATGTATAATATTTCGTATATTAAAAATGAAGATGATCGGTTGATTCCATAATTGTCAATTAAAAATCATAATATATACGTAAAAATAACTTGAGCGTTTCCGAGTGAATTTAAAGGGCGATTGGACGATTTTGGACTAGGCAGAACCTGTGTATGATTTTTTTACATGTTTGAGAGGGTGCCCAGGGGTGTCCACACACAAATTTTCAGACCTCTAAAAAGGGGCGTTACCCAAAATTTCGGGACGTGAAAAATGGGAAAAAATTATTTTGGATTTGCTATAACTTTGGAACGGACAAAGTTATATTGACGTTCTTGACTGATCCTGACGTAACTTTTTACGCTGAACAACTTTGCTGTTGACACCAAAGTTGTAGTGTTAAGGGAAATGTCACTTTTAGGTGACCTCTGACCAAAATGTCAAATTTTGACAGGGAACGCCCCCTTTGATTTTTTTCCAGGTATAGGAAAAAATGTAGCCCATAAAATTTTACATCACATATGTCAAAATTAGAACAAGGTTATTTTTTATTTCGAGTAATTAATCGTTAAATAAGAAAAAACGAGTCCGAGGAGGGTCGAAAATTTTGAGGTTATTTCAAAAATCGAAGGAAACTGTCAAAAATCGTGTCCTGTATGTTGCTTTTGCCTTAATTGAATATTTCTGATACAATGGAACATTGCTGACTTGATTTAGTTATGTTTCTGTTAATTCTTTAATTTACCTCAAAATTTTCGACCCTCCTCGGACTCGTTTTTTCTTATTTAACGATTAATTACTCGAAAACTTAAAATAACCTTGTTCTAATTTTGACATATGTGATGTAAAATTTCATGGGCTACATATTTTCCTATACCTGGAAAAAAATCGAAGGGGGCGTTCCCTGTCAAAATTTGACATTTTGGTCAGAGGTCACCTAAAAGTGACATTTCCCTTAACACTACAACTTTGGTGTCAACAGCAAAGTTGTTCAGCGTAAAAAGTTACGTCAGGATCAGTTAAGAACGTCAATATAACTTTATCCGTTCCAAAGTTACAGCAAATCCAAAATATTTTTTGCCCATTTTTCACGTCCCGAAATTTTGGGTAACGCCCCTTTTTAGAGGTCTGAAAATTTGTGTGTGGACACCCCTGGGCACCCTCTCAAACATGTATAAAAATCATACACAGGTTCTGCCTAGTCCAAAATCGTCCAATCGCCCTTTAAATTCACTTGGAAACGCTCACTTTATTAAAATTTGCAATTTTGTTTTGATTTTAGACTCAAGCGATTTCACTGACCACCAGTCCAAACAGATCACCATCTCTGCCGCCTCCAGCGGCACCTCTGCCTCCGCCACCCCCGTCTCGAGGCCCAGAAGCGTCTCCAATCGTCGGTCAGTCAATGAGGTCATCGTCACCTGTGTCCAGAAAGTCCTCCTCTTCCCCTGCCCACCAAATGTCGTCCAGCGAGTCCATTCATGAAGGAATCAACCTCTCCCCGAACAGCAAAGAGGCCATGGAAGCCAGAAAATCTGGTGAGTACAATTTTACTTTTTCGTAAGGACTTTACACTGCAAATGGAGATACTGAATAATTTTAAATTAAACAATTAATCCAATGTTTACAAATCATAAAAAAAATTAAATTTTTTAACATCAGAATTTACCAGAAATTATTTACGTCAATAATTTGTTGTAAAATTCTTCATTCGCTGAATTATTCAAAGATGAAAACATTCGTACATCCCAATGGTAATGGTAAACCGCACAAAATTGCCTTTTTCGGCCGCCGAGAGCCAGGGATTAAAAAAATGCCCGTTGATCCCTGGAATGAGCATCGCCAATATAAAAATCCCTATCCACAAGGGTCGAAAGATCCACACTGGGGGCGGGCTATTTTTTGCACCGCACTGGACCATATCAAAAATTCATTCAACTTATTCAACTTTCGATCCCGACGGGCAAAATTATTATACATTTGAAAAGGAAGGTTTAATTCTCGCGGTTAATAATTCACAAATCGAAATTTGAGTTATATGCGAGCGGGACGAGACCGGGGACAACTTTGGCCCAGCGGGCTATAGCATGCGAGGGGAAGCACGGAGGATTGCGCTGGATTTGCGGCGTTAATCAGATTATCTCTCTATGATTGATGAAACTATACGCGAACGCAGAGCAGAGCAGAAGCACGAAAGGGATCTAGCTGCGGATCAGCGAGCGAAATTTCGCCGCTCTGCAGCCTTTTTATTTCATCTCTGTCGGGCTACAATTTTGATTATACTCAGTCAGTCGCACAGCGGCGGCAGAGAGAATGTTCTCGCAGAGGATTTTGCATTATTCTCTCTCTGGCTGCTGGTGTACTTTAGCCGGGGATAAAGCATCCAACACGACTCTCCGGGCTATGCTTTAGCTCTCGGATTACGCTAAAACCTTCCCTATATACGTCAAGGAGGCTTCAAACGCGGAGGAGAAATGCTGAAAGAAGCAGGACTGCAAAAATCAAAAGCACAGACAAACACGCCAAAAGGCTTTCGGAATTCCGGACTTGACGTGCACCTGCCAACATGCGGGAGAATAATTGCTTGGCTTTGCGGCGGGATTTCTTGCGGCGCGGATTTCGGGATTACCGACGGACGGGCGATGGAAATTTATACAAAAATGATAAATAAAATGTAAATGATAAACTTCAGGAAAGAAAGCTCATAGTTATATATATACTGAATCACTAATTTTTAAATTAACAACTAGGGGAAAATTATTGAATAGCAAAATCAAACTATTTAATTTGATTTAAATTTATTGTATGGTCGTTTGTGAGACAATATTACTGTAATTTAATCACGATTATGATTATTCTGTACGCTTGGTTATGCAAATTAAATTTTAATTATTTAATATTCTTAATTTCTAAAAATTCTAACAGTTTAAAAAAAAAGAAGAGAAACTTTGAATCGCTGAACAAAACGGCACCATTTACCCTAGCAACACTAAAAATAGCTCCATCCGTCCAATAATGAGCCAATCAATTTGAATATTGACCAATTTGGATAAAATTGAACAGCGATAAAAATGTTCTTTTTTCATAATCAAGAAAAAAACCTTTGCTTTTGTAACAAATTCATTGCATTCCAAATCTTACAAGTTTCATGATTTGGTTCTCACGCAAAAAACACAATTATACCAATAGTTTATTATACAAATACGCGGAGAGCGCCGAGAAGATTAAGCCATTACTCGAGCTGCATTTCCAATCACCCTGATGAAAAGGGGCCCCGATCTCTCTGGCGCAACATTTAAAGGCGAAGAAAGAAAGAGTGGCTTTTATTTATTTCGTGCAGCTCCATATATATTTGTATGATACAAATGCGCGCTCGGCCGACTTATCCATTTAATTTTGATTGCATGACGATAGAAAATTCCCTGCGCTCATTCTGATCTCTGATAAATTGTATGATGATGATGTGGACAACGATCGAGCAGCAGTCCGCGTCCATCCGATTGGATATTTTTCATCTCGATGTTTGATCCAAAACATTTTTTGTGAGTGTGTAGCGCAGATAGATAGCCAGCAGATAGATCGGGCCTCATCTCTTTTTAAGCTCTTTTTCCAATCTGAAAGAGTCACCGGCGAAATCTACAAGTCATGCTGGCGAGCAGATATCTCGGCATTATTCATTGTTACGGACTAAAAGCTAAACCGAGCGAGCGAGTGAGCGGCGCGAGAGGGACAAAGAACCAGAGCTGCGCGAGATTATATTTTATATATTGGGTGTTGGCCATCGCATTATGTACGCCATCACACCGCGTTATGCCTCACATCATCCTTGCACATCCAGGTGTATCAAAATAATCAACTTTTTAATTCTCATCCTCTGTATAAAAAGCATTAAAGACACCACACCAGCCTCTTCACCGCGTTCTCACACCGCGCGCCGTTTAATCCCCGTGCTGCAGCTTTTGCTTCGCACCATTTTCCATTCCTCCACTTCTCCGCAGCTCACAATGCATATCCACGCGCAGCATCAACAGATCAGGATGCTGCGCTCCTTTTCACCAAAGCGCCGACCATTGTCGTCGCCTTTTCTCCGTGCATCCAATATGCAATTTGATATGCAGATTTTTTACTTTTATTGTTAAGAGGATTCTTGAATTTTTGACTTCCATCAGCTGCGGCGAGAAAAATATAAGTGGCTTTAATGAGCAAAGCGGTTCAAAAGATTTAACATCTATTAATGCAAATTTCGGAATTTTTTAATCTCGTTAATATTTAAAGTTTTATAAGATTTTTTTAACATTTTTTTTTTTTAGTTTGCATATTATTCTTTGTGATGTGTATTATCGATGTTTTGATAGTTTGTGTTGTGAACAAATAGTAATGTATTTTTATCATTTTTATTTAAACGAGGTAAGGATTAAATTGTAAATTTATAATATAATGTTAAACAAAATATTTATTTAACTTGATCGCAAATTAATATTCAAAATCAGAGAAGATTTGAAAAGAAATTTAAATTTTTACTTTCTCACAATAAGTATGATCTTGATATTGGGCGGGGAAAATAAATAACTAAATTTTATTTCTATATCACGCATTAAGAAGGGACAGATTTTCCTGAGTTGAATTTGCATTTCGTATAAAGTAAAAATTTATTTTGCTGTTCTTAGATTAGTAATTATAATATAAATAGTATCTTATTTAGGACCTACTTAATATTTAAAATTCGCTTGATGAGTGTCGTTGAATTAGACATTTGATTATCTTCTCCTGTTTAATAACTGTCACAATTATCAATTTTGAAATGGAAGTATTATTGAGAGGAAAGTGCCGACAATTGCCAAGATAACAAGTCAATTGAAACGCTCTAGTATGCAATATAGGCGGTGCTCTCGAGAAAATAAAAAGTTGTTCAATGACCCTGCTAAACTCTTTCAAACGCCACCTCCGGCCGAAATTGATCCTTGACTTTGATGTACGACTATTATAATGCGAATCTGAACCCTTTATGCAAAATTCATTCGATGTATGTGCGCGCACTTGTTTCAAGTGCGCGGCCACAAGATGAGCTCGATGGGAATATTAAAGGAGAGGAATTATCTGCGGTGCGGCGGCGGCTCTCTTTTATCTCGCATTATGATCTGTCCTCTTTGATTATTCAATTTGATTTGCACGCAGCCGGGGCGTAATCTGTGTCGCTGCCGTGCGTGTGTGTTTCAATCCGTGTGCTTATCTTAATATGGGAGAGCAATCAGCTCTTCGGTGCCTTTGGTGTGCCCGTCGCGCCCACGGCCTGGATTATCTTATAATTCTCAAGCTTAAAACCACCGCGCGCGATTCAACAATCGCCGGCCGTCAATCAAATTAATGTATACGCCAATATAAAGTATTTTGATATGCGCCGCCATCAGCAAAATCTGCCGCGCTGATTGCACTTTTCATTTGCGCGAATGCCGATTGTCCGCGTGTGTTTTAATCCTTTTTGCCCATCGCACATCCTAATGCATGGCGATTTGCTGTGGTTTAGAGGTGAGATTATTCTGCGGGGTCAAAATTCATATATATAATTATAGATTTTGGTGGAATTGAGAATCACAAATTATAATAATCATATGGTAGCTAGCATCTAGTTAAAATGTTTTAAATCCCTTCTTTATTATGAAACAATCCTGCATTTTACTTTCATTACTATTCCAACCTTGTTTTGAGAAAAAAGTGAAGTTTATGGTTTTATTTTCAGTTATTTGTATTCTTTGTGAAATAACTGATCAATAAAACTAATTTAATCTGATTAAAAAATTGGAAGAATTAAAAAATTAAAATCAAATTAGTAAAATCCAAATTTATCTCCAACCTTTTAAAGCCAAAACTTTTATTGAAATTATAATGTTATCGCTAACACGAGTGATTACATTTTTTTAAATTAATTCACAGCAGCCTTGATTCTGGTTAGCTGAAAACCAAAGCGGTGCTCGTTTATATCCGAATTAGTGGCGAAAAAAGGATACGAGCTCGCCGAGGAAAATACGACAAAAGTCATGATGTTGTGGCAGAGGAAATCATATTATTGTGGCACGGGCGGTTGGTTGTTTTGTGGTATCAAATATATATAAAATTATAGCCCGAGAAATGATTAATGATAAAAAATGGCTATGCTATATTATATTATCCATCCAAAACTTCCTTCCTGTGTGAAGTTCGTAATCCTCGCAGGCACCAACGAGCTCCCCTCCTATGTTTGCTGTTTCTCTCATTTTTATTATGGTAGCCACCGACCAACGCACTTTAATCAGGCCACACGATAAAAATTTCATAAAAAAAACTAACCACTATGCGCAATTAAAACCAATTTTTATTTGTGGAGCACCTGCTTTTTTATAAATATATGGTTTTTACTGCGAAAATTATCAATCAGCCTCTCAACCATTACGTATGATTTCATCTTATAATTCAATTAATTCAAAGAGATGTCATGTGATATGTGACGCTGTTTCTTGACAGAGATAAGTATATTTCGGCTTTGCATTCCGTCCTGACTTTT